GAGGCCCGATTCGACTTTATGAGGCTCGATTCGATTTTATGAGGCTCGATTCGATTTTATGAGGCCCGATTCGATTTCATGACACCCGATTCGATTTCATGACACCCGATTCGATTTCATGAGACCCGATTCGATTTTATTAGGCCCGATTCGCTTTTATGAGGCCCGATTCGCTTTTATGTGTTCCAATTCAATTTGATGATGTCCTGATTCGATTTTATGGGGCCCGATTCATTTTTACGTGACCCGATTCGATTTTATGAGGCCCGATGCGTTATTATGAGACCCGATTCGATTTCATGATGCCCTATTCGACTTTATGAGGCCCGATTCGATTTTCGAGGGGGTTCTACAGATACGTGCTTTGAGAGCCGTTTTTGGCGACAGTCTAGTGCGTCTCGACGCTACGCAAGTGCAAGACCCGCCAAATTGTCAACTAAAAAAATCATAATTTTTCATAAATTATAAAAATGCGGATTTCTTTGTCATCCGCATGGGTCGATGTGGATTGCGGACTGAAAGTCGACAATACAAAGAAATATGCGGTACTTTTTTCATCTTCCGGTCTTCAATTGACGCAACCCGTCTCCAAGCCCCGAGGGGACGTTGAGTGCTTTGCATTTCCGGAGAAATGCTCCATTAATGACCTCCGTCAAGCTGCAACCCCCACTTGTTCGAAATTCAAAATTAACTAGCCTATAATTTTGTACTAATTTTCTACCACAATTAAAAATTTTGTACTCAACTATAAACAATAAAAAAAACACATTCGAAAGTGGGGGTGCTAGCTTGACGTTAAGTTAGCACCCCCACTTCTCATAAATTCAATATCAACTAGTCTAACAATATCCACTAATTATGTACTAATTTTCTACCGCAATTAAAAATTTTGTACTCAACTATAAAGAATTAAAAACCGGGTGCCAATGAAGCACTTTTCACGGATATTTTCTGATTTTTTAAAACATATTTAGAGTAAAATTTTTAAGTTGAAATCAATAATGCAGATTAACATCATAGTGAACTTTTACATGTAATAATTTCAAAATTTTATCCAGTCCCGCAACTGAGATATTACAGTCTAAAAACACGTAAATTTCAAGCGTCTCTAAACAAAAGTGTTCGCCACCGCATCCCCCTTCGAAGAAATATCAATTTAACTTGTCTATATTCATCTACCATATATGTACATAGTCTATAACGAAATAAATAATTTTGTACTCAACTATAAACAATTAAAAAAAGGGTGCAATTGAAGCACTTTATGCGTTAATTTCTCATTTTTTTAAACTCGTTTTCAGTCAAAATCCAATGTTGAAATTTAGATTGCGCTTTGGGACTATGGTTGTGTTTTAGGTATAATAATTTAATATTAATTTTTTTATTATAAATAAAAAATTGCAATTTTTCATTTTATTATGAGTGAAATCTCAAATAGATATGCTATGAACTCCTGTTATTTAACCTAAAGTATCTGCAATGTCATATGTTTATGGTTAGCAAAAATTAAGGATGCAACTTTATTTGTTCTTCAGCAATTACTCTAATACAATAGAAAATTCTCCAAAGAAAAGAATATGATATTGTGAATACTATTTTTTATATGTGTGTTTTCGTTTCCAAAGATTTTTTTTTTTTTTGACAAGGCACAGAAATGGAATTACAAGCCGAAGCGTGTATACGTATGTGTTTGTATTAATGGCGGACGCTGCAATGATAGTTCAGGCCGATTTATGAGCTGAAGGAAAAATATTATATTGTCAAGAATATATTGGGAAAGTGTTCCTGATACTCATGCACACATGGTTTGGCCTTGCCCGGTGTGTTTTTAGGTGTTCCCTGTTCCGCAAATATAGGAATGGCGTTCGGGTACCTGCTTCGCTGCAGTAAGCATTTTGATACTATTGTTAATATGAGCCATTTATTGTTCACATCCAAATTTTGTATGCACGTCCATTTCGGTCTCTACAGAAATGGTTGTACAAAATGAAAGCTTTTTTGCTAGGATGTATAGGAGCTGAGCATTTGTATTTGTGTGCTACTTAAATTATTACATCCCCATACCATATACGATTTATTATTAATTATTTTTTGTATCAACCTGTGCTTCACGATAATACAATTTTATTACATGGAAATTACTCTTCTAGTAAAATTGTATCTGAGCCAGTCACTCAGGCAGTTTGAATTGATTGCAGGAATGTTAAAATCACGTAAGTCGCAATGTTTGAAACCATTTTTCAACGCATACGCAAACGCAATTTCTTGGCTGGAAAAAACGGAGTGTTCGATATACCGCCCCGTGTCTGTTACTTAACGTGATTCAGAAACTTTTCATTAGGAAAAGACATATTTACGAGATTCCTCAGTAAGGTCATTTATTCTATTTGAATCAAAACGTTGTTCAGAAAAAGAAGCAAGACAAGATGATAACTAACGGATGTCAGCATCTTACCTGCGCCAGACATCGGCCCAAGGAAGAGATTAAAGCCTCCGCTCTAGAAGCCTTATACAAGATTGTTAACAGATATTAAGGTAAGTTTTCAAGAGTATTTTCTTGTGAAAAGAGATGTCTTTTTGAACGAGATCAAAACGCCGCGTATGTGGTACCGTCTCATTGTAGTCTCTACACAGGGTCTGTGTTGGGGCGTGTGTTCAATCTTTTATTGCGTATCACAATGTTGCGCTCAAATGCTTCAACCTTAAGTTATATGATAAAAAGTATGAAATGTGCGATGTTTATTTCAGTGCGGGTTGTTTCGGACGAAATGTGTATGTTCACGTACGAATTAAAATTCTCAATAAAAGACATTTGTAATAAGAAACAGATAACAAAGAATTTGACCGTCTTGATTTTGAGGCAGTGAGTATGTATGAGTTACATGTTACTTTTAATGCTGTTGTAAGGTAAAGTCTAAAATACATAATAATGCTGTTCTGATCTTGACAAGTGACATCTTAAAAAATTTCAATGTATCCATTTATTTTTCATATACTTGTCAAAGGTTTCTCGCATATTTAAGTAATTTAGTTTTCTCAAATTTTAATTCGAAATTTTGTATACACCGTTTTCCCCAATTTTAACCATCTTTTAAGTTTTTTGACTGAGTCATACAACGCAGAGAATTAAAAATCGATAGTGTGACTTAGAAGTGAATAGCACCCTCACCTTTTCAGAAGAAAGTGTTTCTATGTACATCTTCATACCTATAATATTGTTTTACAACTTATACTTTTTTCAAATGCAGTGTAGACTTGATAAATATCGAAACAGTTAATACATATTTACCGTACGTGATTACGTGATATACCCGATTACCGTACGAACTCTCGGGAGGGAAACCGGCTTCGGGAATGCAATTTTTTTATCGCACTTTCTTCACTAGAAGACCAAGTATTGTTCTTCATTCATACATCAAAAACCCAAACCGTCGATTATCCGGATTTGATTGTGGTGAATTAAAACAAATTGCATGAAGTGAATACCCTAGTGGAATGCTTCATTTGATAACAATTCTACCGATTTCCTAAAAGGAGTGTACGATGAACACCGTTTTAGTGCTCCAAATGGGTCAACGTATAGTTTGTTCGTTCACGTTCCCCTAAACCCAACTCGTTCGCTCGTCCACGTTCCCCCTGCCAAAATTTTGAGCTATCAAAAACGTTCTAAATACTGCTGCATGGAATGAAAAATTGCTTCGAAATGTCAAAAATTCATGTTTTCGACATTTTATCCAGGTTTGACTGTATATTTAAATGAAAATGATCAACGTGGATTTAAAAAAAAGGATTTTTGTATTTTGAAAATACAAAATACTGTCAGAAAGTATTTTTAATACAGATACAAAATACGTGTTCGAATATGTATTTTCGAAACAAAATACAAAAGTATCGAAAATACGTAGTTTAAATACACGACTCTGCCTACAGATGTTATTCAGGTCAAGTCGGAACATTGAATCAGAAGGAACAAAGTGAAGAGAATGAAGTTTCAACTCATATTGATGAACAAGAACCCTCAGTGATGGAAGAGCATGAAGAAACACGAAAGTTGGTAAATTTATTTTGGCTGTTTTGTACCGCATGAAGCAAAAACACGCACACACCTCATTGAGTGTCAGCTAAAAAAGTAAATTTAATGACAATTCCCTATGACATTTCAGAAATTGACAAATCTGATAGTCACATTTCTATCAAAGCCACTGGAAAGAGAAAATTATTTTCTATTTTTCTATGGTTTTAATATTTCCAATATGTGATTTTATATTGATATTTTGCCATTTATTTCTAAGTTTAATTCATTTATATAGTTTTCATATTTCTAAGCAACTAGTTTTCTTTTAACCACGATTAGTTTTTTTTTTTTTTTTGCCGGTATTAAGATTCAAAAGGCCGAACACAGTTTAACTGTTGGAGAGTGAATTTTTTCCTTAATGTATTACTATTGACAACAAGAATTGTAATATTATTTTGAAAGTATAGTTCATTATTTCTTCTTCTTTTTTTTCTTCCAAAATCATAAGCAAACATGTTTTATTTTGTCAGTAGTTTATTCTTATAAGGGGTTTCTATCGATTTCCGTTCAAATAACTGGAGTTATCAAAGTAACCGCAACCAATCAAAGTAACCTTCAAATTACAAATTATATACTACACATAAACAAATCACACAATTAACATAAGTTTCCTGTTTCCTAACATCAAAATATTACCCAGCCTAAGTCTGCAAAATTATTACTGTCCACTTCTGTTGCTGCCAAAAGAGAGAGAGAGAGAGAGTGGCCCATTCTAAATAATCATGGAAACTCAATTTTCAATGCAGTCTTCTCATGAATTGAACTTAATGTCTTGGGGCCATGCTTCTCAAAAGAATCATGGAACATAAAGTTTTTGACACGTCCTGAAGACGTGTATTCCTTGATCTACACTATTGGTAAGCATCCAATTCAAAAGTAAACATACGTTTGATGCAATTTTCCTTTATTGAATGCCTTAGGGGGATTTCTGGTACGTTACACTACAAGTGTTCAGTAAATACATCTCACTTCCTTTTCAAAGTTTTTGTGCTGGATCCTGGAACATTTCTGTCTTCTGTTACGACTCCAACCACTCTTCTACTTACACACGAAAGATTATGGTTCCGATTCTCTCATCTAAACCTAACATCTGGATAAATATCTAGATGGACCGGGAGATGTGGCTCAAGGCATCAACTGATGTCACTACAATTCCTCTGACCGGAAGATCCTAAGGTAGAGTCCTGATGGTGGTTACGTTACAGACACCAACGTACTTGAAACCAACTACGTGAATGTGAGACATCACCACATCACAGTAAACACAAATGCAATTTCAACAGTAATCTACTTTATAAAATGTTCTTTTTAGCATGTAGATTGTTCAACATGTCTCTTCTTTCTACTGGAAGAACTTACTTTTTTCAAAGCTAAAAGGAACTTTCCTTACTTAAAAACTTCAGTGTTGTGCTTAGGAACTTCAAAGGAAACTTTTATTGCAAAATAGTAATTCACAACTTAAACTTAAAAGAACATTTGGCACAGATTATTGCAAAAATTTGAAATATGATTTCAAAACTTTATAATCACAATGACAAGATATTTTGAACTAGTATCATTATTGACCAACTACAAATGTTTACCAAGTACAATAATTATTTATGATACACAATATTTTTCACAAGTTCTTAGGTAAAATATTAAGTTCATTTAGATATGCAGGGTTCTTCAGGTATAAACAGGTACTTTAATGTCCTGACTTTTATTACCTAATTGTTAGTTTATCTTTGATATGTTGTTACATCTGTTAGGTATTCCACTTGTACACGATATTTAGAAGGTTTATACCTACAATTCAAATGTCTTGTACTACAAAAGTAAAAATGCTAAAACCACATAACAGTCAAAACACAAGATTTAAGTTAATATTTCCAGGTGGAGAAAATTTAATAAGAAAATTTTTATTGCCCTGATCTTCAAGCTAGTCCACAACAACATTAATTGTAAAGCACTAAAAGGGAAGTGTATGCACTTTACAATATTCAATGCGTGACATCTTCCTCCTTGCCTTGTTTTTTCACTGAAACAAACACCTTGACCTCACCCTAATGATTCCATCAATAAAATTTGCTACATTTCATTCAAAAATCTCAGTAAGTCATGGGTCCAGGCATGTAATAAAAGAAAGTGCACAGATAGAAAAGTGAAAAATAGTAACATTTCCCAAGCTACTACCATTAAGCCGATTTTGAGATCGTTCGAAGAAGAAAACGGTTCATGCCATAAACAAAGGAGTTCTCATACAACTCATCGTTGAACTTCTGAAATGAACAAAAAACAAAAACTTGTGCAAGAAGTATTGTTCTTTACTAGGCATTCCTGGAGCATTAAACATTATTGAGAGCAGTTTAATAAAACCAAATGTAGCTTTTAAAGAAGTGAATCCTGAATATAAAGCAACCAAATCTATTCTATAGAGTTGTTCAGAATAAATTACACAAATTTCCAAGATATGTGTGAAGGTTAAAAATTATTACTTTTTGCCAATGAACACATAATGAAAAATCTCATTTAAAAGTTACAGATTCAGCATTTTTGGGATAGTGCACCTTATTATCTATATGCTACTCATGATGCACTCAAACTTGGTGAATATGAGTCTTCACCCCTTTGCCCCCTATTTCCCCATCCCAGGCAAGACCACATCTTGGGCCACTGCACTTGAGAAGGTTACTTTTTGCTGTTTTGCACATTGTGCATCAGCCTTGCAGTAATGCTTTTTCTATTATTAATGTTGATCTTCCCATTTCTTAAAATGCCATTGTAGATGGTTTCATGTTTCTAGACACACAGTCTGTGGACACGGTAGCTACAGGCAATGATTCAGCTGCTTGAAGACTACGCAGAGTGTTTGTCAGAACATGCACTGGCAGAATTTTTCTAGTCAAAGCTAATCCTCATCAGGGGTGTGATGACAGAAATGCCACTTGAGTAATTCTGTGAAAAGTGATTTCTACAGTATGTTTTCATTGACAAAAAGAGATAACCATCAATGTCCTACATACTTTCAAAATTTGTAGCATTTATTTTGAACAATTTGTAGAATTCTACATTCCGTAGTGAAATTTCCCTGAATGGAGAAGCAGAAAGATTTGTCAAGATTTTCAAACCATCAATGATCAAGGCAAAAGTGTTCAGGAACCAACAGAGAGAGTTCTCTAGTCACGCTGCCAACATCTTGAATTGAATTGATGCCTTATTTTACGTGGCGAGACTCGAGCCATCAGGCTCGCTCTTCCGTCTGACCATGCAAATTTCGCTACGCTCCTTTCACCAAGTAACAGAGAAAGAATATATTTCTTGGGGGACAAAACAGGCGATTTGAATGTAGCTCAGATGTGTCGTTTAGGCTTGAAAATCTTTTACATGCAAGTAAATATACTTACATGGGACAGCTGGCTTTACATCTAATCTACAGGAAAAAGATGGACACATCCATACACAAATCTTACGCAGAGCTACACCAAACCGAAGCCAAAATGAAAGAAAAATTGAAGGTGTCAACGGCCAGTCAGCATCATTGATTATTATAAACATAAATGGATCTGTACCCCTATGTAGGAATTTTAACAGCAAAGTCAAAGAAGATCTAATGTTTACAGGACAGCAATTCACAACAATTGATATCAAGGAACCATACCTTACAAGTTCATATGAATTCCCCTGGGTGAAGAGCTGAAAATTCAAGAAGTGAAGACTATTTAATATAACAGGAAACATAACTGGAACACTTCATCCGGGGTAGATCTTAAGTCACGAGCTAAAGTCAACATACCAACACCATGCTGGGGAGCTATCAACAATAAGATCTACCACATAAAGACTGTGAATGGCTTAAGAGTGGTGTGGCACCTTGCACTACATTAAGATTGATTCCACACAGCCTGAACACCACTCTGTCAATGGGGGCATAAGGAGCACTAGTGACAAGCACGTAATCATTGTTACGTCAACATCTTGGTAGGTAACAGCTATTTTTGGAAAATATTTAGAGCCAGCTTTGAAGTGAAGTACCTCAACGATATCAGAAGCTGTCTGGAAATAGTCCTCACAGTTGGTATTGATGAATCAGCCAAGAGCAGTGTTTAACACTTTTATGAAGCTTCAGAACAACCATACCGCTTTTCAACCTTACTGTGAGCTACCAAAACAAACCAGAACAAAAAATAAGAACTATTTCAAATGTTACATTTGCATATTGCTTAAAAACATACATCCGTTTCTGTTGTTCTTTTTTTATTAAATTTCCATCTAGAAAAATAAACCTGAATATAGCTTTCACTTTTAGATCAACTGGGACTGAAAGTGGGTGTTTTATTTAGAAATCAAATATCAGGATATTTTCTTTAGCGGTCAAATATTTTTTCAGAGCTTGAAATCCATTTTAAAGATAAATCATTTTGAAATTCAATCAGTTCTATAGAAAATCAATCTAACACTATAGCAGGATTATTTTTTCCAAACATAAAATGTTCCTTGTCATGAGTAGAGAACTCTTCAACATTAGTCTCTATAAAAGGCACTTTGGTAAACTGTGCTAAAATTAAAATGCTTTAGAAATCTTGAAAACATTTGTGAAATTCACTTTGGAAATCTAAATAAATTTCAACATATTGTTTGCTGTAGTAAGGGAGTTGTGAAGAGGCTTACTTGACAAGGACTACATCACACAAATGTCACACTTTCATGTTTCACCATTTCAAAGAGGCAAAATGTTTGTATTCATCTTAGATGACATTTGTTTCTCTCAGTTTTTTTTAGTATGAAGCAACACCTGAAACTACCAATATCTTTATTCTTACCTAAAGTTGCAAGTTACGGCTGTTCACAAGCTTTTCAATGATGTCTCAGGGGAAAGGAAAATCCTGCAGCCAAACAAGATCTAGTTCAGGGAAAGATCTGCCTCATAATAATCCTATGAAGGCAAGTAGCAAGTATTTGAAAGACTGTAATTCACTGCCATTACTAAGCTAGTGAACTTCCATACAAAGCTGTTGGAACTGTTACTAAGCTACTGGCAATTCATTTTATCGGTCAGAGCTCTGGACAAACATCTCTGAAGTGAATGTGATCTCACATTTACTACTTCACTTCTTTTATGACTTTTCATACTTCAAAATTTTCCACATCATGACTGCTGGTATATTATTCACTGGTTTCAAGACTCATCTGTCAGAGCTCAGTTAGCCAACTCCAGCCAACCTGTGTGTGACACTAGGATTATCAAAAATTCCCCAGCGAGTTATTACCTCACCGTCAACAGTTTGGGATCCGTAGCCAAGAATACATGCATCAAGAACATCCTCCACATATTTGATATGACGGAATGCAAGCTCCTCCATACATCATTCCAGCCTGCATGAGACTCGCATATGGGAAACTACTCTAACAAGAGCATTTACGCTGACAACTCTATCTTGTTTGACAACACACTCACACATTGCACACACAAGACTGTTTGCTTAATAAGACTGTTTTGAAACATCCCATCGACTTGCAGCAAAGAGAGTTGTGCACAACCTACAAGACACCATGGACCCAGAAATCTGTTACACAAACAGAGAATCCACTTGCAGACTACATGGACATTGACTATGGTTAGTTAATTCATTACAGATGACCATTAACTACATATATCTTCTTTGGGAGATGTGGATCAGTCTCCCAAGACTACAAGAAGTGGTGAAGTTGCAATATCAACAATTGAGGCAGAATTTATAAGAGAAGATACCAAGAAAGAAATGTACATCCGGATATTCCAGGAGAAGGGGATTTTTTAACCTCTGTATAGTAGAGCTGTCCAATGATATCTATAATGACCAGAAATATGCACGTTCTATCCCAGTCTTCCATGTCAGGACAAAATATGGATAACTGTCATTATTTCATCAATAGATGCCAGGGCAATCCAGCTACAGCATTGTAATGTCAACCAACACACCAACAATGTTCCAGACCATGCGAAACCATGAATTCCTCTAGCATTGATAACTGTGCAGTGTGGCTAGAAAGTATTCTCTGGGAAAGTGTTGAAGTTGACATGTCAACCAAATCCTGATGTAGCACTGGGGATGTGTGGTGTGACAGGTTCAGTTGCTTGCAAGACAATGTGATGTATATATCCTAGCAAGGTAAATCCCCATTGTGTTCAGTGAGTGTTGTGTTCAGTGAGTGTTTCAGTGGGCCATGTGATTGTATTTGATCACATCTCTGCTGTCCCTGGGTCCAAGACTGAAGAGATGTTCAGTGGACTAACCTCCACAGTCCCTACCCAATAATTTTATTGAAATTAATTACATAAATCAATCAGCCAGGTATATTATATTTGGTCTCAATATTATCTTCCCGTTATTACTTAATGTTTATTATTCTATTGTCAAAAATATTTAAACACAAATATAGAATAACAAACAAATCAAAATAATATTGAGAGAATTTCAATGAAAAACAAGGAGAGTGGGTGTAACCAACTGTGAATTACTGCACTTCACTTGCATCGATATTAATAAGTGGAATCAAATTGCATTTTGACTGTTATCTAAGTCTAATGTTGTATTGATTGATTTTCAGTGTGAGTGAACAGGAACATTTGTGATAATTCATTCTTTGAACATTTTGCATAATAACAATAACATGAGAAAATTCTCAGTAGTGTTGAAGTTTACCAAACCTGTTTCAAAACTCATTCAACATTGTCAGTCACAAAACATTTTGCTGTACATGTTTATAAAAACAATGATATATTATACTCATTACTATTAATTAATTCAAAACTCAGAGAAAATCAATAACTTTCCAATGATATCTTATTTGCCAGTTTTACTTAAACAAATGTACTGACTACTAGGACTACTATGATTTCATTATATATGATATATTGAACAAATAAAAACAAAGAACAATAAAAATTACCTTGTGACACTAGAATTTGATCTCTAAGATAAGTACACACAGTTCTCCTTCCATTACTTTATTGCACAATTATAATTCTTGAAAAAGTTATTATTCTTATCATTAGGTACCCGTGAAAGTGTTAGTAAAACATTCAATACATTTCGTACTGTAAATGGTAGAAAAATATATATCAAAATATTCATTCTAAAAGTCATTAATTAGGTATCTGTAACACAACACTGGATTCATGTTCATAAGATGATCCTCTATAACTTACTCTTGGCAGCAGCATCTCTCTCCTCCCTTCCTTATCATTAAGCATCAATCATCCTTGAGGGACAAAGTACCTAAGCCTACATGCATGAGATGCTTGAGAATGTCAGCATCACATCCTGTAAGGCCTAACTTAAATAGTGTGTCTGCTACAGAAGCAGGACACACCTTCAGAATAAATAATTTTTCAGTGAGTACGCATCCTATTGATTGCAAGAGAAGCAATAATGTGTGATCTGATGTAACAGCAGGTGGGATAGTATCCAATGAATTTAGCAGCTGACCTGAATAGGCAGGACCCCACAGACAGCCGGCAGTCACCTCGAGTATTGTTACCAAATTCTGAAAAACAAATAAATAGTAAAAATACTTGCTCATTAGAAGAATGCGTTTTTAAACTACAAGTGACGCAAAAATATTCCATCTTCATCAAAGAATTATTATGCAATTCTTATTAATTTTTTAATGGTTTCCATACCCACACTCACCATCACTAAAGTAAAATACACCCAAAAACAGCTAGAAACAAAACTGATTTTATTGAAACCAATGGAGCCTTCTGGGAAGCACAAGAATAAGAAATCTGTATAAAGCTATGATGAAGATAAAAGGGCCGTAAGGTAATGTTTAAAAATATCTGACAATTGTTGTACATTTATAGTACATATAGTATTAATCACACAACTTTTCTTGAACGATGATCGTGCTTCCCTCCCTGGCACAATAAGTAGTTGAAGGTAAAAGCTGCAAGCAAGCACTGATGAGAAGATTCTAAACACATCTTCATTGGCGCGAAATAGAAACTATTTTCTGTTGAAGTCGAGAACTTCTGTCCATAATTTTATCCAAAAATTAAAAGAAATTACCGAAAGCAGGTGAAGATCCATGACGGGAGATACCTCAAACTTCTGAGAAAGTTAGAACACAAATTATTGAAAAGTTGCGAAGGCATGACTAATTCTCCAGAGAATGGCAATGCTTCATAAAATCTAGTGGCTGATTTTGTAACTAATACTTCCACTCTATCCGCATTTCTTCAATCTATCATTCAAGAAAAGTTGCATCAGTAATATGCTTCCTATTTCCTGAGAAAATATAATTTAAAATGAAACTAATTGCAGTAATGAAATTTTAAAAGTCTTTTTAAAATGTAATAATGTTTATTCTTTTGTTATGCATTGCAATTAATAAACAAATTAAAATTAACAAAGTTGAACACAGATTTAAAGTATTAGATATACATTTAAAAATTGAACAACAATGTTATAGTTGCCAAATTAACAATAATATAAATTTCTTCTTTCTCTAAAAGGTATTTCTTTAGTAACTGAGCTTCAACAAACAAATATTTAATGTACACTAAACAAAGGGATCTTTTGAGTTTGGATGCAGTGTTTAGAAAACAATTGTCTATAATAGCATGTTATTGTTCTAAAATACTAGTCAGCAATAGCCAATGATTTTAGTGAAAATATGCTTAAAAATTCTGAAGTCTTTAAAGAGCAAATCATATGAATGAAAATGCCAGTTGACTCTCACTTGGAGTATGAAAGCACTGATTAAAACACTTGGCTCATTAGCTGAAGATTTTATGATCAAATCCATATACTTAATTTTATCACCACCACCACCACCACCACCACTAATAAACTCTACAAACTGGATGAAATAAACAGCACCCTAAACAAGAATGTAAAAAAAGGGGGACAGTAACGATTTTGTAAACAATTATTAAAATAAGAACATGCAAAATAAAATTCAGTATTTCACTGCTCAATTGCAAATAAAAAGTTGTGAACATACATATGCTTTTAAATTGCAAATAGCTAAATGAGCCCTGATGTCTCCTTTCCAAATTCGTTTAACTTAAAATGAAGCCCAATTTTTGCAGGAATCAATGGTGATTGCTTAAATCACCACTGTACATGTTACACTGTACTGTTTCACTGTACATGAACTTCTTTTTCCAAACTTTCTTTAATATAGCACAACATATTTCTTTTCTTTTCTCTGATTTGTGATCTATTGCTTTGCTGGGATTCTGAGTAAATCTATCTATTGACAGCTACAACAACAACAACAACAACAACAACAACTGCAATCACACCGGAAACAGCTTTCCAAGATCCTCCTAATTAATTGTTACCTTCTTCTAACATAGTTGCTCAAATTTGCAGAAATGAAGGTAATGTATAAGTCAAAACAGAAATGAAGCTGTGACAGATGATTATTAAGGGGTACTTGTATAAGATATGAATGTTTTATAAAGTCTGACAGGTCAAAGAATTAAAAGGCAAGATCGTCAATTTGTCACCCCAAACACTTATCATAAAAAAGGATACAAAATACAAATTGAGCATGATGATTCATACCCAGAATTCAGCATGAATATTTACATTTGTGTCACTTAACTTTATGGTAGAAAGATCATACAATGTGTGTGTGTGTGTGTGTTTCAGTAGCATTACTCCTTATTCTTTCCCTACCTTTAAAATTGAATAATCTTTCATCTATGAAATCCACATATTCTAATGATAACAATGAATAAACATTTGACACAGCCAACTATTCTCACAAACCATAACAACAAATATTGAAAATAGTATTGGCAAATAAGAAAAGCACAACTTGAAGAACATACCTTATCCCGAGGACTGATCATATCATGTACAGACAGTCTTTCTGGGACACAGATGCCTATAAGTTGATAACTGGAGACGTGTGATGAAACCAATATTCCTCGGTGCCACCTGTTTAAAAAAATTACAAAAGCTTCAAGATATATTAAACAATTTATTGAAAATAACTGCACCAGATTTAGATGCAATAAGTTTTACTTAACAAATAATAAAATTTTATGAACTAAAATAAGATGACCACAAACACAATTTTGTCTTCCTGTTAACTAAGATATTTTTGTGAAATCATTGATTTATTTTCGCACTGCAAATGCCTGCAATCTATCCAAACATAGAAAAAAAATTATGAAGATTTACAATGGAATCCAGAAGTAAAGAAATGTAAATGAAAGTCATAGAAAGTGACTACATCTGCATGCATCTCCTTTTCATGTAGCCACACCAATAACACAACAACAACATGAAATGCCAATCATCAAACTGCAAATACCATAAACTAGCTGGACCTATGCAAAAACTCCACACTTTGTAAATAATCGATTTAAAAGTGAAACTTACTTCACGGTAGAACCCAACTTCGAACTGAAAGACCCCAGAATGTGCATTACAGCATTATAGACTTGGTAAGGTACAAGAGTAACTGTTATAATATTGTGAAGCATTGAGATTAATTTGCACAGAAAATAAAGCAATTCCTTTAACTTTATCATGAAAGTATGTTTGTCTTTTTACTTCAATTTAATTTTACATAGACTTTGGATTTCTTCACTTTTTCTGACAATCCATTCTATGGAGTAGAAGCACCCAAAAGAATAATAACTCTCAAAATTGTAATAAGAAATTTCAAAACAACCTCAGTTTGTTGAATACTGCTTACAAAAAATAATTTACGCCTCACCCGTCTCCTTTATTTGCCCACAAGTACATCTATCCCTCACCTGCATCCCATAAACTCGTGTCCTCGCAGAACTTGTGACCTTTTGTAACACAAAAACTTGATTTTAAGGGCATATGATGTATGAGCTATGCACAACTGAGCACAATTGAGCTATGTATTGAGCTATGCACAATTGAAATCTGCAGTAAACTGTTTTTAACTCATTAAGGACCAAGCACTGAAATAATATTTTTTTATTAATATTATGCATTTACTCTAATATTACACTAGATATTTTTTTTTTAAACCAAAAGTCAATGTACAACAAAATTTTGTGTATATACAACATTGGAACGTTAGGGTACATCAATTTATCTTGACACGAGACATCTGAATACAGTATGCTTGAAGATGAACACTACATTTTTTAACATTTGTTAACTGCAATGCTTTTACACAATCTGCACCTCCTTCTGGCTTCGTTTACTCTCTTTATAATCACATGCTCTACATCACGACTGATTGACAGACTGGTGATTCTGGATGCATCAACAGCTAAGTTAATTGATTTCATAAATGTTATGCATGTTTTTTAGCGCGGGAGATGACGACTATTTTCCCCTGTTGGATGGAGAGATCCCACACCGACCTACCTGTCAGCTTGCGGGTTTTTCCCTAGGCAGGTATCTCTCATGAACAGGGCACTGCCTCAACCAGAACCAGCTCTTAGCTGCCAGCCAGTCCCCCAGCAATATGGTGGTGTAATGCAAGGGGGAGTATAGGGCAAGGATCAAGTCAGAGGCACTCCAGTTACAAATTTATGCCCTGAGCCATCTTACGTAACTTCTTGACGTAGGGAAGTCTTTGTGGGTTAACCAAAATGTGATTTTTCAGTCTCCTGTGTATTAATTTACTCCTTATTGCATTCACTTCCTTTTGCACAGACTTCAGATTCTATTAGAGTCATGGCTAAGAAAGAGCGAAATTATAGTTGTAACATTTTTTTATTCACAATATTATATATTTTTAATGAGTTGACAACTGCACAGTCAATCAATTTTTCTTATTCTGTTTCTTTTTCCTTCAGTAGATCATCTATATTTTCCTTATCTGTAATTTCATCAAAATTAGGAGGAATGTGCACAGCATCAATCATATTTGCAGAAATATGATCAACATCTTCCTCCAGAAATAAGTTCAGCAGTTGATAGAAGTCTTTATTTTCTTCTATCATTCGCGAAATATGCAGAATTTTTTTAGAAGATAAATAATTACGCTTGAAGTATTGTTTATGCAATGATGCAACAATGTAAAATAAGACACTTTCTCCAAGATGAGATAATTATATCAAGAACGGAAATATGAAACAGTAAATACATGTCTATTCCTCAATGATTACATTCCAATTGCACTTGTTCTATCATGTTCAGACTGTATACCCAACTAATCCCAACATTGTGTAAATGTAACCTTATTGTAAATTATCAATAATAAGCTATGTAAACACTTATCTACATAATAAATATTCTGAAATGATAAAAGATGATTCAAGCCAGACTGTGGAGTAATATACAGTAAAAAGAAATGTTTAATAATTAAATTAAAAATTGAATATTGATAGCACAATTCACTACAGTAACTCTTAAGTTTCAATATTCAATGAAGCCACATTTAGTCAGGATATGAATGAAAAGTGCAAAACCTTATCAAATAGTATCTGTTATCTATATAGAATTGTTTTTCTAAAAAAATTTAAATATTAAATTGCATTTATGCAATGTTGGGACTTAATGGGTGAATGTCATCATTAGTAAACTTTATTTTTT